AGAAATCAAATGAAGTCTTACAATGGGCAGATGTGCTGTTCAAGACAAGCAAGGATATCACTCTGAGGACGAAGACGCACTTAACCCAGGTGACAGCATGTTTAAGTGCATCATATGCATGCTGACCATGCATATTTGATTGGACACTGATTAAGAAGACCACACAGAAACTGTGGCACTTGAATTATGGTGCTGATGACGGATACTGAATGCACCGTGGACTGCCAAGAGAACAAACAAATCTGCCATGGGAGAAGTACAGCCATCATGTTCCTTAGAAGGAAGAAAGGGTGACCCTTGATATGGTGGATTGAAACAATAGCTATAACAATGGGCTCATAACAATTATTAATATGATGCAAGACTGGGTAGTGTTTTGTTCGGGTACACCGTGTCACTATGAGTTGGGGCTGACAACTGAACCTAATAACAACAATTATGTGTCTCAGGGTAGGCCTCTGGGTTCATTTCACTTGTAATTCATTGAACTTTTTGGTGTTATAGATTCATATCCTTTATTAGATTTTGCAAGTTTTCCATCATTATTTCCTCAGATACTCTTTTTTATCTCTTCCATTCTGGAATTTCCATGGTGTGTACGTTACTTTTTGTGATGCTATCCCACAAGTCCATAAGCTGTGGTCAGCAGGAAGAGACTTCTTTTATGCCTCCTCTAAGTCCCTGTGAGGCAGAAGCAACTCGCTGGGACCTAACAAGAATGCTACCCCCACACGTATTGCATTGGACAAATTTGCTCTCCAAGATCTCTTTTAAAAAGTTTTAAAAAGCAAAGATGCCATGCTGAAGACAAAGGTGGGGTGTCTGATCCTCATATGAATGTGAAAGCAAAACCAGATAAGAACGGACACATTTTAATTATGGTATCGGCGAAGAATATTGAAAGTCTCACGTATTGCCAGAAGATCAAACAAACCTGTCTTGCAAGAAGGACAGTCAGAATGTAAAAGGATGGCGAGACTCTAGCGGACTTTGGATCTGTTATCAGGAGAGACCATCCCTGGAGAAGGACATCGCCTTGGTTGAGGGCACTGAACAGAGGAAGGCCTCGAGGAGTTGTATTGCCACAGTGACGGCCACAATGGGTTTAAACATAACAACAATTGGGAAGATGGAGCAGGACCGGGAAGTGTTTTATTCTGTTGTTGGACATAGGGTGGCTAGGAGTCTGAACTGGCTTGACGTCAGGCCTCTAACAACACAATGAGTCCCTATGACTTTTGCTTAAGCAAGGGCATTATAATTTACAAAGCGCTGGCGTTTTCAATTTCTCAAATTATATGATACTTTCAACAGTGCACGTGTCTACAGAAAGCCCTTGGGAGGCTGCCGTCGATAGACTTGGATTGCTGCTCCCTGTCCCTCTCCGCTCTATCTCTCGCTCAAACGACAGCTTCACTTTTCAGAGTCCCCCAGACAGACATGAAAACACACACCACTGCATCCACTCTTGAGGTGGGGCAGCCTTTGGTCTTTGGGAAACTACTCGCTTCTCTACCTATGACAGAAAGGTGAAAGATAGAGACACCTCACACAGCTCACCCAGGACTTGTGTGCTAGTGTAATTGGGACCATAACTCAGGAGATCTTCCAAATGTTCATTGCCTGGTGGTGGCAAGCTCCATCTTTTGACCTTGGTGGGTTTGAACTGCTGATCAGGACGTTTCAAGCCCACTGCTTGCCCCACGGTACCACCAGGGCTCCTTTACACTTTGAAAGGTAGGTACACCGTGTCCTAAAAATGCCTTCCGAATAAGACCCCTTTCTTAATATGTCTACAATGACTCCCCATAGCTCCAGATGCCACCATTCGCCCGACATTCCAGTCCACATGCTCGGTCTCTGCCCATCCATCCACATTGTGCATCGCCAAGAAGCTCAACCAGCCACATAAGGGGCTGCCAACCAGGCCTAACCTTTTCCCTACTTACTGCCTCAGCAGCTCTGACCTCCGCAGGGTTCCCTATCAAATTCTTGGGAGGGGTATTTCTGAAGGATAGTGTGGTTGTTAACATAATTTCATGTCAACTGGAAGATATATAAAAGTGTAAGGGTGGAATTTAGCTTTTCAATCAGGTAGCAAGCAGCCTGGTGGCCATACTTGGAAGTATGACCAAGATATATAACTTTGTGGAGGTCAGACTCTCTCTACCTTCATCTTCTTGCTTGCTGGCCACCCAAATTGCTGCTGGAGCCCTGTGATATTTTCTGCTGACCTTGAGTCCACATGACTTTGGACATGTGGGCTTGTAATCTTCCTGCACTCAGTATCATTACACGTGGCTGTGTGAGTCTGAAGAGGGACTTATGGACTAGTATTGGACTTATCGACTTGAGGTGAGCTGGGCTGGGATGCATTCTTGATATATAATTACTTCTTGATATAAATCTCTTTCTTATACATAGATGAGTATCGATGGATTTGTTTCTCTAGTCAACCTGGCCTAATCATTGTTTCCTCTACATAATGAGATCATCAATTATCTCAAGAAAGTAATGTGTGTGCTGAATTTGATCAATCATCATGCACACAAGACTCTTATTTTTATTTTATTGAAAGTTACTCTTTATCATCAAATGGAACTGTAGATTGCTTTTTAAATAAAGTCATTCTGGCAGTGTTGAGTCCTTATTTCTTGCAGAAAGAGAGTAAATCAAAAAACAAAACAAAACAAAAAACCCACAAATACCCTGAAGGGTGTTACAAAAAATGCATATCTGTTTCTTAAGAAGTACCTAATGCTTCAAGTTACATTGGATATAGTTGAAACTGGCATAACAATTTTACTTTTGACAAATGAGAAACAAACAAACAAAAATCCCCAGATGACAGAGTAGTTAATAAAAATTATTTTACCTTTGGAAAGTTATTCATAAAAGACTAAATAAATCAAATTATTAATATAAGATAAGAGTAAATCAAGACAAAAAGAGAAGTCTGTTAGCTGGAAATGTAAAAATAATACCTGAATGTAACTTTCTTCCACCAAAACAACAACAATAATAAAATATCAATAATATATCAACATCATGCCCTAGCATGAATGGAAGAGTTTCAACTTACAATATCACATTTTACATATACTGCATATGTGTACTCAGAAGATATGTAAAAAATGTTGACATATTTTCTGTTCTAATGATTCCTCAAAAAGATATTTTATTGGGGGGAAATTTCTGAAGTTAATTTGCTTAGTTTGAAGGTTTAAATTTTTTTAAATTTTATTTTAAGAAACCCTCAGAAATGCTTACTCTATAATGTGCCCTTCTTGTCCGAGATGGCACTGTCGCCTGCACTTGTTGGGCCTGTGAGTTTGCTCTCCCAAGCCCAATGGTTCTTCCTTCTCTTTGACTTTATAATTTGGACCCTAGAGTCAAATTGGGTGAAGACATAAAATCGTATCAAAGTATATTAGATTGGGGGGAGGAATGAAGCAGAAAAGGGAAAAGTCTGTGTGATACAGGCTTCTGCCTCCACAGGCAGCGGAAACCAAGTGGTCTTTGGGGGTTGCCCTGCCTGAGCACATGTCCACTGATGGGCACAAGGCTGCCCAGGGCACTGGAGGACATGTTCAAGCCTTCCCAGCTCATCTTTTTTCTAGAGCGCAAGGAGATCTGGCAACAGATCTGCCAGTCTTTATCCAATCCTCCCAGAGTGGTAAGCAGCTCAAACTGTCCTGGAATCCAGTGTCTATCATTGGATGTTTTTCAGTGGTACCGTCCAGGTCTTTTCTGTTTGGTTTTACAAATATACATTCTGACGGGGCTGGGTAGTACAGATGAAATAATGTACCACTCCTCTTTCTGTTCCTCAGATTATCCTTTAATCGGGCCGTGTATATGCACGTCACCCAACACTCAGTAGCTTAAACTGCTGAGGCGGCTCTCTGAGCTTCATAAACTGGGTCAGATTCCCCCAGAAAAGTCGCCAGATGGGTTCTACAGGCAGCTGCCTGGTTCTGCTAGCTTAAAGGAGTAGTTCACTGCAATAGCAGAAAGCTTCCTTTTTAAAGAGGAAAAACAGGGAAAAACTAGCAACAACAACAAAAAGAATGGGGCCTATAATTCTCTTCCTTTGGTTATTGTGCCTTTATGGAGAATTCCAGGGATATTTAAGAATTACTCTAGGGACACTAGCAAACAAGTAATTACCAAATAAAGTGGAAACAGACTTCTGGGCATCAATATTTCCAGTTAGCTCCAGAAACATTTAAAAGGAAAGGTCTGTCTTGGCTCCAGGCCTAATGAGGACCAAGTGTGGCCAGGCAGTTCTCTCCCGAACAGCTAAAATCATGTTGGAAAAAGTGTTACCGGCAATAATACTAACTTACAGTTGGCATTCGACAGTGTGCATTTTCATTCTAGTATCTCATTTGACCCTTACTGCAGCCCTGTGAGATATAGGGTGAACAGCATTGTTCCATTGCATAGATCAGGCGCTGAGGCTCAGGAAATTAAAACTGAATGCCTGTGATAGAACGGAGCCTATGAGCCCTGGAAGTCTGGTACCATGGTTTGGTCCTTCGGTAACTATTCCATTATCACATATAACATTCTTAGGATGTGAGACATCTCCATGGCAAAACACCTACAAAAATCATTAACTTAGTACCTCTCAAACTCTCCCTGAGGGAAGGCACAGTGGGAAAGTAAAAGGGAAAATAGCAACACGAGCTCCCGAAAAAGGCAAATGCCTCAAATGTCTGAATGAACACACTTAAAACAGAAACAGTTCTCTGGAGAAATCTTTGAAATAGTTGACCAGTGTGAGTCCTAACTGCAGTAAAATCCATGGAGATACCTATTTAACATTGCAACAAGAGTCAACATTTTGTTAAGATGGAAAGTAGTGGTTAGAGAGAGGAAGGGAAAACTATGGGATCTCTATTGGTCCTGTGGGCCACAGTGATAAATAGGGAAGCATTTCAGGCTTCCCTGAACTGTTGCAGCCCACTGCACCACAGGACTATCAGGGGGTCAAGCTAACAGTCATCTTGACCATTCGGAATGAGGCTCTGGTTATCCCCAAGGTTATTCTTCAAATAGTCTATGTCTTTGCCTTTGGGCTCTTCCTCTTCCTCCTCTTCTTCTTCTTCTTCTTCTTCTTCATCACCATCCTCACAATCGCTTCTCACATCCTGGATACTCTAGGTAAAGGAGAGAATGTTCTGCTGAGTAACATTCTTCCAGGAAGAGTCATGAGTGAACAAGGAAACACATATGCCCACTTTAAAGGCAACCCAATAATCAGACCATCAAACACTCATCAAGATTAACAACATGAACTTTAACACACTTGACATTATATAAAGTATATCTATAGACTATATGGATTTAAGGTAAAAATCCATTTAAAAATATAATAATAGAAACATATCAAAACACTTGGAAATTAAATAACATACTTCTAAAAAATCAATGAATCAAAAAGAAAGTCTTAAGGGAATATTATAATGTTTTAAATTACATGAAAATAAAACATGAGGAATACAGCTAAAGTTGTTCTTAGAAGGAAGTGTAGACTCTTAATGATTATGTGGAAAAGAAGAACCCACTACCATGGAGCCAACTTCAACTCAGAACAACGCGACAGGACAGAGCAGCACTGCTCCCTTAGGTTTCTGGGACTGAAAATCTTTATCGGGACAGAAAGCCTCATCGTTCTCCTTTTGAGTAGCTAGTGGGTTTAAGCTCGTGACCTTGCAATCAGCAGTCTAATCAATGCATAATCAGTAATGCCATAAGGACTCCTGAGAAACATTCAAAAATGTCTCAAATCATTTGAGTTTTCACTTTTAAGAACCTAGAAAAAATGAAAGGTTACATACAAAATAAGGGCAAAGCAAGGGGTGGGGGTGGGGGTGGGGGAGCATAGAAATTAATGAAACTGCATACAGAAAAACAATAGAGGAAACCAAAAATCTCCAGGGCAAACTTTTTGAAAAGATCCATAAAAGAGGTCTCTACCAAGATTGACAAAGAAAGAAAGGGAAAATACAAATTACTAGGATGAAGGGGGGGGGGTATAAATACAGATACTCCAGACGTTATAACTATTTACTATGAACAGCTCTAAACACATTGATTACATGAAATAGAACAATTCCTCAAAACTGAAAACGACCACAATTTAATCAAGATGAAATAGATATCCTGAATAGTCATATTATTAACACAATTAATTTGTAGTTCAACATCTTCTAAAATGATCAGAAGAAGAAGATATATATTTTCTCTTTTTTTAAAATCATTTTATTAGGGGCTCATACAACTCTTATCACAATCCATGCATACATCAATTGTGTAAAGCACATTTGTACATTCATTGCCCTGTATTTTGATCTTTATATTATTATTGTTTTATCCTTACCATTTTATTTAGGTTTTGTTTTTTATTGTTCTTGTTGGGTTTCCAAGTTTGTGAAGCACAGAAGGAATAGATGCATAGAGATAATTACTGATGCAAAGGTTTATAGGAATTTAGGGTGGGGAATGGAAAAAAGGGAGGGTGGGGGGATTTGGGGAGCAAACACTGAATATGGGATTGGGGGAGGAAGAACTAGAACTGATTATGATTACACAACTCATTTTAAAAGTGATTTAACCATGGAAGTATAGGATATGTGAATAGTATATCAAGAAAACCACGGGGGGAACTAAACTTGGCCAATGACCAATGGTTACCACAAGTGAAAGGGAAAGTGTCGATGCATAGGAGGCACAGAGCTATGTCAGTGGTGGTAGCATATTATAGCACGAAGAGTAAAATCAATGACACTGAATTATACAAGTAGAAGTAGTAGAATTGGAGAATGTTCTATTGTGTATATTATAGTGGTATTTGCATTTTAAGGAATTAAAAAAGAAAGCAAATGGTGGAAAGTTCACATTTATTACATATACACAATGGCCTAAGGTTTGGTTGGTTTTTTGTTTTTTTTTTAATTATGGAGGCAGAGGAGAACATTGGAGGAGTGCAAAAGTTAAAAGCAACAGACGCTATCCTGCTATATACAGAATACTTCAATCACAATAGTCTGTGAGCAGATACATGGATAGAAACCCAGGGTGAGTAGGTGTGAGAGGGAGAGTGGGAGTATACCCACCAGTACATATAAACGTGACAGAGGGTATTTGTGCATGAGCATTTGCCTTTGCTACATATGTATCTATGAATGTAGCACAGCATTCTGGAGCAAAGTTATGAAAACTTTTCTGCACAATTAACCCCACTGAAGGAATGAGTTACTGGGTCTGGAACTTCAGGACCCAACCAAGGTTAACTGGCATAGAATAGTCAACAAAGGCAAAGTTCTATGTCCTACTTTGGTGAATAGCAACTGGGTCTTCAAAGCTGGTGAACAGACCATCTAAGGTGCAACTATTGGACTCTCCCTCTCTTGAGTAAAGAAAATTGATGGAAATCAAAGGTACAATTAGTCCAATGGATTAAGTGAACATCAGTTTCCACAACCCTGAGACCAGAAGAAGGCGATGGTGTCTGGCTACTACTACAAGTACCCAGAAGATCCTAGATACAGTAGGAGAAAATATGGAATTAAGATCTAAATCATAAAAAGACCTGGCTTACTAACCAGATAGAAACTAGAGGAAATCTTGATACTCTGGCCTTCAGCCCACTCTTCACTCGTTCCCAGGGCTCAATTTTTAACCAAACAATAGAAAGTCTATCGGAGGAACAGAAGCACTGGGGAGATATGATATCTTGGAATTCTCAATCATTTAAGATGAAAAGGCAGTATTTATACAAGAAAAAAGTTCAGAAAGCTTAGAAAAGGAAGAATGAAAACAGGAGAAGACATCCCATAATGTTTCATTCTGGGAATTGCAGCCAATGGCATAAAGCAAAATATGTAAGAATTTTTGGAAGGAAAACCAATCTGCTCTGAAAAACTTCACTCAATTCACAGTAGAAGGGGAAAAAAAGATAGAAATTTTTAAAAACATAATTTTAAAGCATATAACCACTTTTTATTTTCAGTCTATCATGTAAACTCATGGAAGCTGTGTTAGTAGGCTAGAGAAACAAATCCATGGACACACATATGTGTACAAGAAAGAGATTTATATACAAGAGGAATTGAACATTTAGAAAACATCCCAACCCAGTTCAGTCCAAGGCCATACGTCTGATATTAGCCCATATGTCTGATATCGATCTATAAAGTCCTCTTCACACTCACGAAACACATGCAATGAAGCCAAATGCAAGACGATCACAAGCCAGCGGGTAGAAAGTCTTTGGGTCCAGTGGCGTTGTAAGCATCTCAGTGCTGGCAGGGGTTTCTCTGTGGCTTCTCCGGCTTCAGAGGTCTGATTGCATCCATGTGGCTTGTCTTCTGAAAATGTCTCCCAGGGAGTGGCAGAGAGGGAGAAGTGTCTTCCGCCTCCAAGGAGGAAGTACCAGATTTCCCAGGATTCTCAGGAGAAGGTCATACCCACACAGAAGTCTCATTGGCTATCTCCAGATTGACAGCCTAGACTCTACTCCTACACTCTTAATCCTTAAATTGACACCAGATTGGGTGACTACCACAGAAGCCAAAGAATAATATTTCTTGAATATATAAATTTTGGGTACCTTTCCAACTCTGGCTTGTTCCTCTGGATTATTTATTCATTTGCATATCCAAAAGTATTTATTGAGGGCCTAGTATATATACCACTGTCTATATATCACAATCAATGCTCATAGAAGCAGCTGTCAAGAGATCAAGAGATGTGTTGCAGTAGGTAAATCTGCTGCACAAGACCTTTTTAGAATACTGAGAGTCAAAGATGTCACTTTGAGGACTGAGGTGTCCATGGCCCAGGCCATAGTATTTTCAATTACCTCACATGCATGTGAAAGTTGGGCATTGAATTAGGAAGACCAAAATAAAATTGATGCATTTGAACTATGATGCTGGAGAAGAATATTGAAGGTGTAGGTACCATGGTCTGCTAAAAGGACAAACTGATCTGTCTTGGAAGAAGTAAAACCAGAATGCCCTTTAGAGACAAAGATGGCCAGACTTTGTCTTCCATACTTTGGACATATTGTCGGGAGAAACCAGTCCCTGGAAAAGAATACCGTGCTTGGTAAAATGGAGGCAAAGGGAAAGAGGAAGGTTTCAGTGAGGTGGATTGACGTTATGGCTGCAACAATGGACTCGGCATAGAAACATTTGTGAGGATGGCTTCCAACTGGGCAGCTTCATTCTGTTGTGCATAGGGTCACTATGGGTCAAGTCGGAATTCATTGAACCTAACAACAACAACAAATTATATATATGGCACAGATTCTCAACTTCTATTTTAAGAAATTTTGGGAGGTCTATGAAATATTAAAAAATGAGTCACTTTAGTATTGATTGAAGGAGACTTCCGGCAAGATGGCAACTAAGTAACACATACCAGAGGGACTCTGCAGAAATCAGCACTGAAGTGTTACTAGGAGGGAAATTCCACACTGCCAGGTCGCAGGAGGAGCATCATAAAGATAAGTAGGCACAGATCCACTAGGTTTTGAGGAGCTGGGGCTTTTGGCTTACCACAGTGGAGAACAGCTAGGGTCTACCCTTAGCCCTGCCACTGTCTCATCCAGAGCCGGGATAATTTGGATCCAGCCCAAGGGGTTTATCTCAACACAGTCACAGCTTGCTGCTGTCTCAGGTCAGGTTTTAAACCCCTCCAGCCCCATGGTCAGGGACTGGGGATCAGCTATATTGTTACTTTTGTTTCCCTCTCTTTTGTCTTTCTTGCCACAGTCTCTCTTTTTCTCATCCCTTTTATTGCATACGCCACTGCTGACCTCCCGGCCACTCCCCTTAGCCTAGGGAATTTATGTCTGCCCTCCACCCAGCTGGGAGAGCTCAACCCTCTGCAGCATAACCCAAGGCTGGGGAAAGCCTGCCAACCTTCCTCCAGGGAAATCCCTCCTACCTTCTTCCAGGAGAAATCCCACTCACCGTCCTCTGGGGAAATCCAGCCCACCCTCTCCCAGGGGAAACCCCACCTTCCTCCAGGGGACATCCTGACCACCTTCCTCTGGGGGAAATTGCTCCGGCTGACCCTCTGCAGCTCTTAACACACGGCTGGGGAAATGCCACCCACCTTCTTCCTGCCTTTGTGGCACTCCCGTTGC